TATTATATATTAAATATTAATATTATATATATATATACGATTATGTTATATGTATAACATATAACATGATTATGTTATATGTTATACATATAACATAATCGATTATGCTGTGTATATATATACAGCATAATCGATTATGCAAGACTACATAATCGATTATGGCCTTGCATAGTCGATTATGTAGCCTTGCATAATCGATTATGCTTCCTTTGTATATGCTTCCTCTACTGCATGGCACACTACGCATGCATGCGAAGGGGCATTTTCGGGTTTTTATAAATTCTACGTGGCTTTCTTCTGCTTTCTTCGCTTTTGTGCGAGGACGAGAATCACGCTTCTCCCCCCTTTTCTTCGCCTTTTCGTCGTTGCAAATCACCGGAAACGAACAACAAGTTTCTTCGCCTTTCTTTGCTCGTGAACAGTAAATCCATGGAAACAAACACTACCTTAGAGTGAAATTGCCCCTTCTCTTCCCAATCCCTACTTCTCCACTCTTCTTTAAACCCAAGCCGTTCATCTGTTCCGCCCTTCTTCCTCGCTGCCGTCAACCAGGCCGAACCGGACCGCCTCCCTCAAACCACCGCCCGCAAGGTCCAGGTACTCAACTCAATCACCGTATCTATTATTTGAAGGTGTAAATTTTGTAACTGATAATGAATACTCCATATGTTTTTATTGCGCTGTCAGCTACATTTTGTTTTTTCCATGGGGCATTTCAGTGAACATATTCAACTCTATGTTTTTATTTGCAAACAGTCGGTTGCGTTTCCGGTGGTAGACTCCGAGTTGCAGTGAGTTGCGGAATCGTTCCGAGTCTTAACGACACAGTGCTTCTGAGGAAGAGACCTAGAAGCGGTTCCGCTAGTGGAAGCGACTACAACCTTATGGTGGGTCTGGTTCTGGTTTGGAGGTAGCGGTTTCTCTTCTTCTTGGTTGGTTTGGGCTTGTTGCTCGAGCCATCGCTCTTGTAGTTGAGCGAGAGTGACATAGTTGGAAGGTAAAGAAGCTTGATTTTTTCTCTTTTCCATTGATACACTCTCACACACACGCTCTGTTCAAGTTATTTGATTTATTTATGCTTTACTCCTTTGCTGATCTGGCTATCATTGCAATTTGGAAACACAAGTAAAGCGGTCTACTCGAAACCGTAACTTCCAGGATAAGTTAATTGAAAATTAAAATATTATTCTTGTTAGATCGAAGACAAAACAGGGCTGCTCAGCCTGAAGCAATGGTGCACACAGGAGGGTCAATAAGCTTCGGGCAACACAAAAAAGCTATGGTAATCAAATCATATTGAATTTTGTCAATAATTACTGAGAATTTCATTACTTACAATTTGTACTGTAATCTTTTTATAGGAGGCACAAGAGAATCGTCCTGTTTCTTATCGTGAAGTGTATAACAAAGTTCACAAAAAAAATGATGGTGAATTTGTCTCAACTAGGGCAAAGAAATTTATTGTATGTTATTTTATATTTTAAGATTGATTATGTACTTTTTTAACCTCTTACTATTTCACTTATTTTTTTTGTTTATTATTTGTAGGAAACATATGAAGAATCAATGACACAAAAATATGGAGAAGACACTTCTTCTCATCCTGTAATTGATTCTGATCTTTGGTTAAAAGCTGCAGGTGAAAACAAGAAGAAAAGAGTGCATGGCATGGGACATAGCTTGGATCTTGGAACTAGTAGCTCTACCCAAGCTTCATCTCCAGAGGTTGCAGGTGCCTCTACAAATCTTACGCCTATGACAGAAGAACGGGTCACTGCAGTTATAAATAATGCATTGGCCTCTTTTTTGCAAACACAATTACCAGAGATGATGAGGCAAATAATTCAAGTAGTTCAACCATCAACAACACCATCAGCCAACCAACATAGGGAGGATCAAGGACGAGATGATGATTTTACTAGCTTAGGTTGATTACTATTTAGGATGACTTGTTATTTGGATTTTCTTTTTGTAAGACATTAATTAGTTTAGGTTTCTTTAAGATAGTATGCAAAAGTTAGATTTTGTAAGACATTTAACAATTTGGTTTTGTAAGAGATATTGTTACATGTAACTTTTATTTTAAATCATGTTGAATTGAAAAAAAATTATGTAGTTGATTTTAGATTTATTTAAAATATCAAATTAAGTGGCATATTTACAGGAATTCATGAGAGAATAATGTATATATAGATAAATTAGGAAGGTTTCGCGAGATATTAGCGAGGATTCGCGAGGAAACTCAAATTGTGAAGGTTTCGCGAGGGATTAGCGTGGTATTCGCGAGGGAACTCAATTCATATGCTTTGATGGATTTGCGAGGGTTTAACGACGGATTTGCGAAGGACATATTTGCGAGGGTTTAGCGAGGGATTTGCGAGGGACCTCAATTGATATATTGCTATAGAGTTGCGAGGAATTAGCGACCATATCGCGAGGGATAATTGCGACGGAGTAGCGACAAAGTAGCGACGGAATATTAAATACAATTAGCGAGGGAATTTAGGTTCTACATTTGCGAGGCGATAGCGAAGAATTAGCGGCACAAATTTGCGACGGACTAGCGAAGCTGGTTGCGAGGGAAATGCGAAGGAATGTAGCGAGGGAATTGTGAGGGATATGCATCCGTCGCTAATTAGCGACTTGAATTTAGCGAGGGAATGATCCCTCGCAAATCCCTCGCTAGTCCCTCGCTATTCTGTTTAGCGAGGGATTTGCGAGGGATCATTCCCTCTCTAATTCGCAATTTTCTTGTAGTGAAGATAGCTTCTCCCAAGAAGCCAAGCCTCTTAGGCCTTTATCAACATTCCAAGTTACTACCTTGAGCCAAGAACCTTGTTCACCTACACAAAGAAACTAACACACCAAAACAACACTAGAGAAAATTGGTAGAAGAAAAACAACAAAAGTATAACTAAAATAAGCTAAACTTTAAGTTAAATAGGCGTCACAAACTCAAAGAGTAACAAGAATATAGATAACCAAAAAGAACAATTTGGAAGCTAGAACATCAAAAGGAGTAATCCTAGGGTTGGTTCTAGATTTGGACTAGAAAAGCAAAACGACTCAAATCCATTTCCAAATTAAATGCAAATTCACATGAAATAAAATGTGAAAAATATTTTTAGATGCTTTTCGCAAAATTCTCCATATATTTAATTATCACAAATATTTTTTCCTCTTTTTTCTTGTAATTTTTTTTTACACTTTTGTTTTTCTATTTTTTGGATCTATTTTGTGACTAATTTATTTTTGTTTTAGGTACTGTTTCTATGTCACAAAATGTTCCAAAAATAAGAACATTAAATTGCAAAAAAAATAGAAGTAGAGAAAATTTAAAAGGACTTAAAAAAATTGGTGAAAATAATCCTATTACTCTTGTTTTTTAATTAGACCTTTGAATTTCAAACTTTTGAACTTCAAAGAGAGAGTTCAATATAACATTACCACAACCTCAAGATTTTTCAAGGATTCACCATAGTTTGAAATTAATTTGAATAGCAAAAAGTTCAAGGAAACAAGAAATAATGAAAACTACTAAATATATGGAAACCTAACTCTACAAGAAGCATGTTAATGATCTAATAACATGCTTGAACTCAAAGATCATAAACAAAAAAACATTATACATTTTTGGTCTAGTACATATAACAATTATTTTTGTAAGATTAAAAAATTAAAAGGACTACTAGAAGTGATTGTCGGAACCCGAAAAATTATGAAAATCTCATCGGCTAGGGAATTCTCAAAAACCAGACTAATTATCCATAATCAATGGTTTTTGAAAAGTTTCGAAGGATTCGCCACTAGGGGTGGGTAGATGGACCCGGGTCCGCGAACCAGTCTGTAAGCCCGCGGATTTCGTAGATAACAGACCCATTTTTTTCAAATCCGTATAATTATGTTTGATTTTTGAGCCCGGCCCGTGAAGTTCGCGGACTTGGAGGATTTAATCTGTGGGCTCGCGGGCTAGTCTGCGGACTTCACTAATTAATATTTTTAAATATTAAGATTTTAATATTTTTTTGAAGGGATTGAGATTTTAATATTAAGTTGTGTATTTTATTTTTTAAATTATTATGACATTAAAATTATATTTAGTTAGTATGTATTTGTCATTTGAATTATTTTTATGACATTTTGATGCTTATATTATTGAAAGTTTGGTACTATTATTTAAGTATTTGTAATTATTTTTATTATAATATTTTAATATTTAGTATTTTAAACCATTTTAACTATTGATAAATTTTAGTATGATAAAATTTAGCTTATAAATAAAAAAATATTTTTTTCTTCTAATTTTATGTATTTTTGTTTTTTAAAAATTTATTTTTTTGAATTATTATTTAGGCCCGCGGACCAGTCCATTATCTGTGGATTTTGGCAGGCCGGATACGGACTTAAAAAATAAGTCTATTTATTTTACGGACCAGACTTATCCGGCCCGTATAAAATGCAGGTTTTACAGAGCGGGCCTTAAACGGGCCGGACCGATCCGTATACCCACCCCTATTCGCCACCAACATGTTACTCAAAATATTAGAAAAAGAAAAGTTTTTTTAAATTATAATAATGGCCTTCATAGCGAAGGTTAGGCTCGGGTATCGGTTACATATAAAGAAGGTATTAGGCACCCTACAATGTCCTAAATCAGTACCCTATGATGAAATTAACATAATAAAGAATAATAGTTTCAATATGTTATTCCTCTTTTTAGTGGTCATTTACATGCTATTTTAAAATATAATTACTTATAAAATATGGTTTTAAACCCCACACATTTAAAAATAGTATGTATACATGATGATTTATTGTTCGTGACAATAGTATTTGAATGAAACAATAATGAAAAGAGAGAGAGAGAGTTAATAGTAATACCTCTGTAGCGAGCTTTATAAAATTCCTCTTCAAATGTGGGATCTAGGTGCTTTTTGGCAGCCTTTCACACTACAAATATCCTCACAATACTCAAGAAATACAAAAGATAGAGGGAGAAGAGATTTATGAATTAGAACTACTAGAAACAAGTCAAAGATAACAACTTTTCTCTTAATTTTTGGTCCAATCTTCGATAAAAATCCGGTCCAAATCTGGTCCCCTTTTGCACTATGCATGAGGCACCTATTTATAGGTGACAGAACCAACTGGAATGACCATTTTGATCAATGGAATCGGTCATTCCAAATTGGTTTGTTATGGCAAAATTTTGAATTTGGAACAACCCGTTTCAAAATCAAAATGGCTCATTCCAAACTACTATTTTGGTCATAACAACCTAGGTCAAAATGGTCCGTTTTGGATTGCAAACGATCCATTTTGACCTAAGGTTTCTTGGCCTTTTAGGTGATTTGGAACGGCTCGTTCTATATTGGGAATGGCCCATTCCTGGCTCCTAATTTAGCCTTTTTAAGCTTCTGGGCTTCCTGATGTTTTTCTAGTCCGTTTTGATGTCACATTGGGCCCTTAAGGTCCTCTTGTCTTCTTTTTATTAGTCATTTGCCTTATTTGAATGTCTCGGATTAAATTAGGTGTCTACAGCTGCCCTTCTTTACTTGTTCTTTGGATGGCTATGTTTTGCTTTTCGAAAGACAAGTAAAGATGTAGACATTTCGTCTGGGTCTTCTCTTGGTCTTTTCATATAGGTGCTTCCACATTGTTTCCTTCGGATAGATGGGTTTGCCCGTATCCTTGCTCCTTAGAATGTCGAAATGCTGGGGTCGCTTCCTCCAAAGATGGGCGAGGATGGCAAATGTACCTTCTAAACCCTTGGCTTCGTGTGAATTTTCCATATTGCTTCTTCTGGTTGCTTCTTTGTGATGGTGAGGTGAAGATTTCTTCTAAGTCTGTTGTGGAGTGAGTATATTATGAGCTTAACCTCTCTAGGCTAGACAAGTATTAAGGCTTCTAGCCGGCCCAAGTCATGATGATTCCCTTATAACCTCTTTGCAGACCATGAAAAAAATGAGTATCTTCTAAGTTCAACCTCTCCAAGCTAGATTGGTATTAGGGCTTCCAGTCAGCCCAAGCCGTGGTGATTCCCTTATAACCTTTTTGCATGCCAATGAAGGAAATGAGTATCTTTTGAACTTAGCCTCTCTAGGCTGGACTAGTATTAGGTCTTCCAGCCGACTCAAAACCTCTTTACAAGCTAGTGAAGGAAATGAGTATCTTTTGAGCTCAACCTTTCTAGGCTAGATTGGTATTAGGGCTTCTAGTTGACCCAAGTCGTGGTGATTCCCTTATAACCTCTTTATAGGCTAGTGATGGAATTAAATATCTTCTATGCTTAGCCTCTCCAGGCTAGACTAGTATTAGGGCTTCCAACTGGCCCAACTCATGATGTTTGATGATTGATCTAAGTCGATGATTTGTTGAGAAATGCCCCTGTGTTGGTGGGCGAAGGAGTTTTTTGTAGGATCGTGATCTTGTAATCCTAACTTTTCTCCAATTGAGGAATATGGTGGTGTCCTCATTAGTTTACTCAATTGTATAAAGAATGCCCTAGGGATGACGGGCAGAAGGTGCTTGATGTGCCTCTAGTTTGGGTTGTCTTTACTAATTGAGTTTGAAGGTTGGCAAGAACTTTATGTTGTTCCTACTGTGTGAGTATTATGATGCCTTTCTAAGCTTCTTTACTGGGGATGAATGGTAGGGATTCTAGTGTTTTGCCCGCCATGTGAGTATTGTAATGCATCTTTAGGCGTCTCACTATGGATGAGTGAATGATTGGAAGGAAAATCTATGTTGTGTCTGCCGGGTGAGTATTGGGATGCCTCTACAATATACCTCACAAATCTCAAGAAATACAAGAATAATCATAGAAAGAAGAATTCTAACTACAAAGACTTTAATAGATAGTCCATTCCGTCATTTTCTAGTTCCCTGAGCACTGCGTACAATTCTTTCTGGTTAAAAAATCTCTTTCTAGTTGCTCGGGAACAATTAGGAGATTCTCTATAAGAAATACAGAGTTTTTCTTTTGGTGGAAACATGCTATGGGGTGGTGGTCCCGCTTATGGGGTCAAATCAATACATTTTAAGAAGAAATATTTGAATCTCATCGATCTCATAAGTATCATACCAAATCCCATCTGATCTAGATTTTTCATATATAAATGTAACTAATATATCTCCTTCAGAAAGTATTTCTCCATAATGGCCATGAACAGTTGCTCCTGGAGTCGCCAAATAAAGGTTAGTCAATCTTATTCGTACAGAATCCATTTGAACAATTAGAACTTGACCCGATTTTAAGTGTAGTGCATTTTTCGTTTGAACTAGAGCCTCCTATTTATAAGCACGAAAATCTACCAGAATGGGCCGTTCTGAATTCAGAATAGGTCGTTCTAGACCATTTTGTTACATACAAAATTTGAAACTGGAATGACCCATTCCAAAAGTGGAATGACTCATTCTGGATTTAAATTTTACACGTAACAAACTAAGTCAGAATGAGGTGTTCTGACCTAGGGTTAGAGGCTATTTTCAAAGCTCAAAACGGTCCGTTTTGGGCTCTTAATCCTAGCCCTTTGCATTTTGGGACTCTTAATGCGACTCTGGTCTGTTCTTGCATCAAAATGGGCCTTTAGGGTCTTCTCTTTCTTGTTTACATGTCCTGAACAAAATTAGGTGTCTACAGATGCCCTTATTTTCTCATCCTTTGGATAGCTATGTGCTGCTTTTCCAAAGGCAAGTAAAAGCATAGGAATTTCATCCGGGTCTTTTATTTGTCTCTTCATGCAGGTGTTTTCATGTTGTTTCCTTCGGGTAGATGGGTTTACCTATATCCTTGCCCTTTGGTAACCTAAGTGTTGAGTTGCGTGCTCCTTTGGGTGACAAGGATGGTAAATTGTACCATCTAGGCTTCCGGTTCAGTGTAGATGTTATGTGCTTCTTCTACTTATCTTTTGATGGTGTTATTTCTTATTTATTTCTCACTGGGGTATGAGTGTATTCTGAGCTTAGCCTCTCCAGGCTGGAATGATATTAAGGCTTCATCCAGCCTATGGTGAGTGTTGTTTGTTCCAGCCTCTCCAAGCTGGACTGGTTTTAAGGCTCTAGCTGACCTTTTCTAATCTCGTTGTTGAGTATTCCTTGATCTAGCCTCTCCAAGCTAGATTGGTATTGAGGCTCCAATTGACCTTTTGAGTATTTCTGTGCGACCTCTCCAAGCCTACAGAGTTGAGTATTTCTACGCAGTCTCTCCAAGCTTACAAAGTTGAGTATTTCTATGCGGCGTCTCCATGCCTACCGAGTTGAGTATTTCTACGCAACCTCTCCAAACCTACAATGTTGAGTATTTCTACGCAGCCTCTCCAGGCCTACAAAGTTGAGTACTTCTACGCGACCTCTCCAGGCTTACAAAGTTGAGTACTTCTACACGGCCTCTCTAGGCCTAAAAAGTTGAGTATTTCTACGTGGCCTTTCCAGGCCTACAAAGTTAAGTACTTCTACGCGACCTCTTCAGGCCTACAAAGTTGAGTATTTCTACGCAGCCTCTCCAGGCCTACAAAGTTAAGTACTTCTACGCGGCCTTTCCAAGCCTACAAAGTTGAGTATTTATACATGGCCTCTCCAGGCCTACAGAGTTAAGTATTTCTACGTGGCCTCTCCAGGCTTATAGAGTTGAGTATTTCTATGTGACCTCTCCAAGCCTACAGAGTTGAGTATTTCTATGCGGCCTCTCCAGGCCTACAAAGTTGAGTATTTCTACATGGCCTCTCCAGGCCTACAAGGTTGAGTATTTCTACGTGGCCTCTCCAAGCCTACAAAGTTTGAATGAGATGTGTGGTAGGGATTTTGGTGTTGTTCCTATCGTGAGAGTATTGTGATGCCTTTCTAGGCGTCTCGATTGGGGGATAGCACGTGTGGCATGGATTCTGGTGTTGTTCCTGTCATGTGAGTATTGTGATGCCTTTTTAGACGTCTTCATTAGGGAATGAGATGGGTGGCAAAGATTTTGGTGTTGTTCTTGTTACCTGAGTATCATGATGCCTTTCTAAGCATCTCCATTGGGGGATAACATGTCTGGCAGGGATTATGGTGTTGTTCCTGTCATGTGAGTATTATGATTCCTTTCCAGGCATCTTTTTTTAGGGATGTATGGCGAGAATTTTGTGTTCTTCCCGTCATGTGAGTATTATGATGTCTCTTCAGACGTCTTCTGGGAAATTTTCTTACTGATTGGTTGGTTGGTGGGAATCTTGTGTTGCTCCTACCAGGTGAGTATTATGATGCCTCTCTAGGCCTCTATCGTGGAGTCTTTTGGTTTATTGATGGTTGATTGCAAAGCTTTCTTGGTCGATGATTGTTGATCACTTGAAATGGATTCAATGTGGATGTGTCATCAGAGTGTTGTCTATTGAAACGATATCTTGAGAACTGGGGTGTTGACATAAATGCCTTGGGATCTTATCATAGTTATCGAGATTGTTGGGAGATGCTTGCTAAGGAGCAAGAAAGCTCCAGGTGATGTGGTATTAGCTGATGTGGCTTGAGGTGTCGTGGTTGTCTTGCAGGTTTTTATTGGTCTTGATCTTTGTCGCACTAAGATGTTTGGCTTGATTGGGTTAAAGGGATTGTTGCTATGGGGATTTCCCTACCCCTTGTTTGAGGATGGATCCCAATGTCGAGGATTCTCAGTCATATATTATTATTTTTTAGCTCTAACTTTTTTAATGTGGAAGCTTTGCCTTTTTCTGTATTTATATTTTTTTCATTGTTTTCCCTCTTTTTTGTGTTAACATATACAAATGCTGAATGCTTGTTTCATCTATGCAGGATGCATATTTTGAATAATTCTCCTAGGATAATGAAAATTTCCTAAGTGTGTGTGAAATGCTTTTGGATGCATGCAATGCATGTTTTGGTTTTCAAGAAGTGGCTTTCCTTTTCTCCTTTTTACAAGTGAAATGCTCCGGTTAATTGATGTGCATCATTAGTCATGTTGGTTGATTAATGTGTTAACCGTCTTGGGGGCTCTCTTTTTAGAAAACCTTATCCCTTAGTGTCACATGTCCTAATCAGAGCACGCTCAATACAAAAGCCTAAGCTTCATACACTAACATCCCCCTACCGATGATCACCTACAATACAATTTTAAACATACACAAACAAACAAGGGAGTGAGAAGCATCTCGCTCGGGTTCAGGTGCAAAAATAACTGTTAGATAACACACACAGAAAGAAATCACAAACAAGGCACACATACAAGCTATACATAAAACAGTAATACATGCACAATCACTTATCATGCAATCATACCACGAACTTGACTCATAAATGCATGCATGTGGCGCTAGTCACATATCACATCACATGTCATGTGGTATGTTGCCGAAGCAACATACCTGGAGTAGTCTAGAAGTATATGTTGGCTCAATCGTGCACTCTCAATTAGAAAGATGTACTGCTAGGGTCTCATCAGGATAGCGAAGCCACGGAAGATATGTCCCATGCACACAAATGGACATAACTAGGCCTTCCAAACAGCGCTATCCCCTAGGACTCCTCCGAGATGTTCCATCCGAAGGGCATTCCAACACGATGTACCCCATATCGTACCCCGTCACATAGATGCATATGATGCATGTCACACATTCACATGTTCATAGACTCATCATTTCACTTGTCATATCTCATCATGTCACTTATTCTGATATCACATTATCATACTCATAGTCACAAGGTCACATATAAGAGATTCTCATTCTCATCATATACTCATAAAAATACACCACTTGTATCAATACCATAATAAGACAATTCTCACACCATTAACACCTTTAAACATAGCTTAAAACCTATCTGTTTTCGAAATTATCTGTTCCTCTTAGGTTTCCCATCGAAACCCACAGAGCATCCTAATTCAATCAAAACTTATTTATTTTTGAAATTAAACACATATTCACACTCAACAAACATCAAGGAACACAATAAAAAACCTCAAACATCAAAACAAAAAAAACATTCATATTTTGCCAGTTTCTCATAGGATTTATCGTAGGAACCCATAGAGCACTTTAATCCATATCAAAACATATCTAATCTTAAAATTAAACACGCATTCATGTTCAATAATCATCAGGGAATACAACAGAAAACTTAGAAGCCAAAACAGAAAATATTTGAAATTTGCCTATTTTTCATAGGGTTTCCCGTAAGAACCCATAGAGTACTTTAATCCATATCAAAACATATCCAAACTCAAAATTAAACATACATTCATGCTTAGTAATCATCAGAGAACACAACAGAAAACTCAGAAGTCAAAACAGAAAATATTCAAAACTTGTCTATTTCTTATAGGGTTTTCCATAGGAACCCATAAAGCACTTTGAAAATGAACACATATTCACACTTAGAACCACACTAGGAATGCAATAGAACAATCTGAAAGCAAAATAGAAAACTTTTATAAATTGTCTGGTCCTATACGCATACATCAAACAAGGGATTGAGGGCCAATCCGACTATCCAACAATTATTTTAACACCCCCGAGTGAGGTTTCTCACTCCCCCTTACCTAGATGAGCAAAAGATGAAGCGCATATGATTCCCTGGTGATCCCCCTCCTGATTCTCTTGAGTTTTCATAGAGCATAGAAGGAATGAGAAATGAGTAAGAAACGTGAAATAAAAAACTCCTAGAAACTCCTTTAACTTCTGATAACTTCTCTCTCTTAAAAAAATAAAATAAATAATAGTAATAGTAATAATTTAAAAAATACCATTACGTCCTTCCTTCCCTTCTCATGAAATAACTAGAAACAATAAAAATACACTCTCTCTTTTTAATACAAAATAACATATGCTTAACTTTAATAAAATACATTTCATAAAAACCTATCTCATATCAAATAATCAAATATTAATTAAAATTAAATCATGCTTTATATTAAAATAGAGCTCACATAAAATAGATAAATAATATAAAATATACTTATCATTTTTTTAAAAGTAATATATGTTTTATATAAAAAAAAATCAAGATCATATGAAATAGCTAAAATAATATTAAAAATTCTTCTAAGAAACACATTAAAACATTAAAATAAATACTACAATATTATTAATATAATTTTATGAAAAATTGGGTGTTACAATGGCTTAAAAGATTAATACATACATACATACATATATATATATATATATATCT